GGGGTTACAGAAGGGATAAAATGTCCCTTTCAGAACCTCAGGACAATCACTTAACCCCTTAATGCCTCAAGAGAGGATTTAAAACTTTCCATCAGGAAGTCTGGATTGATGGTGCCAGAGGGTCAAAGCAAAAAAAAAAAAAAAAAAAAAAAGAAAAAAACCCAACATGAAAATATGATCTGACAGCCGAAAAGAATGGTCTGGCTAATGGAAGGAGCCAGCCTCCAACCGGGGTGATTAGAAAGAGGCAAAGAAGCAGCATCCTGACACCGAGAAACAGAAATCGGGGTAAAACTGCGTCTCCTGAGGGCTCATTGTTTCCTGCATCCTTCAGGCTCCTTCCTTTTATGAGCAGCGACCTAACGGTGCGGCAGGCTCGTCACCGGCACAGCGATGCTCAGGAGCCTCGGCTCCAGATCGTTAACGGGGGAAAAAAAGGAGCAGGTCATTAGATGTGCCGAAAGAAACAGCTCCCGAGGCAGGAGCTGACCGTGCAGGTTGCAGGAGAGGTTACACTTCAGAGGCAACAGCTGTCTGAGAAAATCCCAAAGCCGTTAAAGATCCAGACGATTCCCTACCCTCGGTTTCGCTGAGCTCTCTCCACCGCCATCAGGCTTCAAAAGCAACCGGCCCGAGTCGGGGCCAGGCACACAGTGAGCGTCATGTCACCGTGTTTGGGGATTGGGTTTAATTTCTCCCCGCGGTGAGTTTCGCCTCGTTTCGTTACGCTACGACAATTAGTTCCTGTTTTCTGCACTTCCACCCCATTGCGCTCCTGTTGACGGTGCTGCCAACGAGGTCCTTATGCCCAAGCAGCCGCAGCGGGAACGGCGGCACCTCGCTTGTTCTGACAATCAGGGAAACTTATTGAGGGACCTAATTACTGCCCAGGAAGCCTGACGAGAGGAAAAAAAAAAAAAAAAAAAAAAGTCCTCAGCACACGTTTCCCTGCTCGGTACTTACCCGAGCTGCCTGTTGGAAGGGGGGGCCTGGGTGATGACGGAGGTTGGGGACGGCAGGGGGGGGGGGGGGGTTTTTGGTGGAGGGGCAGCGAGCCGGGACGCACGATGGTGGGAGTGGGCGTCGAGATGATGACGGGCTTGGAGGGGATCTCCTGGGGAAGATCGACAAAAAGGAGACACACGGTTAATTATGGGCTTCGTAATCATGGAATCCCAGAAGGATTTGGGGGGGAAGGGACCCCAAAGCCCACCCAGTGCCACCCCCACTAGCCCAGGGACCCCTCCCACTAGCCCAGGTTGCCCAAAGCCTCATCCAGCCTGGCCTTGAACCCCTCCAGGGATGGGGCATCTCTGGGCAACCTGGGCCACTGCCTCACCCCCCGGCACCGGAAAACGTTTCATCCCAATATCCCACCTCCATCTGCCTGTCTCTTCCTTCCGATGGCTTAAAAGCAATTTGGTGAAAATTAAGGCGGTTTCGCCGCAGAAATCGAGGCACGGAATGGAGTGACGTACCCAAAGGCACGCTGGTTTGGTGGCAGGGCAGGGACTGGGGCGCAGAAATTCAGACTGGTTTTTTTTTGCCCCCCCCTCTCCGAATCCCCGCCCCAGCCCCAGCTGGAGGCTCTAGAGGGATGGAGACGGTGTCACCTGGACTCATCTGCTCCGAATCACCCCGGGACACGGGGATCTGCTCTCGGAGAGGATGTTTTTACTTATTTTTCACCTTCACCCTGCTGGAAAAGCCTTCCAGCGAGATGTTCTGCGTCAGCCAGATCCACAGGGAGACTTAAGGGCAGCAAACGTGGATTTTAGCGAACCAAGATTTTCTATTTCTTTCTAAAAGAACCTCACAAGCCCAAATCAGGCAGAAAAAAAACCACCTTGTTCTCATCCGGAGAAGGAGAGAGCGATACCTCCGCAGGGCAGACAGTCGCGGAGACCTACCTTCTCCTTGTTCTGTGGCGACGGCGGCTTAGACGCAGGACTATCCGGCGGCGAGGAATCCACCTCCACCGGCTCTT